GGTTTTTATTAAGAAGCTCAGGGGACACTGGACATATGTGGTAGAAATATTCTAAGCATGGATGAAAGGTAAACTTATAGATATCTATGACATATTCTGGAGAGAAAAAATTGTCTTGCAGGACAGTGAAACAACTTTCTTAAAAAGCTGAATTCTTTTGGAAGCTATAAATAATTACGACAAGGAAAAAAACAAAAAAGTCATAGAAGTTGTCGTTCTTGGACACGGTTTGAATTCCCACTACTATGTATATATTGCACTCTGAATATTCATATAACCAGATGGAGTGTTATGGTGATTTTCTAAGCGTGACTTAGATGTGGCACAAGGCCGAAAGTAAGGGGGCACCCGGTAAGGATTGAACTCACCCAGTCAGTTATGTTCCATGCGTGATAAACATTATCGTGCGGGATAAACATTCAATACATGACTGACAAGGCATACTTTTTCCCGCAGTAGGTTGCCATTTCTGTGGTAGACCAGTTGCCATCCAAGGCTATAGAACCCAGTCTGTCCTTCTGTTTACCCATAGCTGGAGGGAGAAGAAGAGGATTCTTACCTTTCCCAAGATTATTAGCACTTAAGTGAATGTAATGGATTCAAGAGGAATTCGACTCCGCTTCTTTAAATCGAGCTGCTACCCATTACTCCACCGTGCCTCGTTTGAACTCACTACTAAGTTGTAATTATTCTAGCGATACAAGCTCGCTTAATCATAACGCCACGTCAAAGTGCCCCCTGTTGGAAAGTTATGTCTTTCTTTTTTTTGAGTACAGTGTAACCCGGATATGAGACCCGAATATAAGAGAAACTCGGATATAAGAAAAACCCGGATATAAGAGAGTTTTTCTCTGGTCCCAAATTAGAGCCTGTGTTAATGTATATAAATTAGACCAAACCCGGGTATAAGAGAAACCCGGATATAAGAAACTTCTTCTCCGGTCCCGACAACTCTCTTATATCCGGGTTACACTGTATAATGAACCATCTGATGTACCTTGACGTAATTTTAATCTATTTTTTCTAATTTTCTTTCAGGTGAGTGATATTTACTTCGGTCAGCTATACCAGTTGAAGGTAACAGGATTTTTTTTAATACCACAAATGTTCTGTTTTTGGTTTTTTTTTTTGTTGTTTTTGTTTTTTTTCTTAAAAAAAAAATAATTGGTAATGAATTTCAATCTTCCAAAATAAATAAAACTGATGTCAGAAGAAATAAAATCCTCATCTCTCGATGCAAAACTAACAAGATGAAATAAACCACACAAAAAACATTAATTTTGAAAATTACGAATTGGTTTCTCAGCCAATCGGAGGGAACATTAAAACGCCTGTGTGAACATAAACTTTCATCTGTCGTTATTCAATCGACACTGAAAGGCTTCTGTTTAAACTTGTGTGCTGCATAAAAAGGCAGGTCGATTTTGTAACCCTTGTGTTGCACTCAGTTTGAAAGTTAGGGTTTGACATGATTAATAAGGACATGGTCTTTTTTTCAGAATCTTTACCGTTTTTTCTTGAGGAATTATGTTTAAAAGATTAAGTCTAAAAAATCGTAGCGTTGGAATTTCACTCCGGTTAGTAAGGAACACTTTGTAGCATATCCTTATAAAATTTATAATTTACTGAAAGTTTACAAATTTTATATGGAAATGATGCATGACATACCCACATTATTACTAAATCATTCTTCCATCAAATAAGACCTTCATTTACCTCAAAGAGAAATTATACTGAACAATTTAGCTATATCATAAAGTGCAGTAGTTTTAGTGAGATTTTAAATATTGTAAATTTAAAATATTTTGTCTTTTAATTTGTACCCAGCAGTATTGTGGTGTTATATAGACATTTACTTTTTTTTTTTTTTTTTTTGCTTTTATTAATCATAATAAGAGGTGATCTATCAAATCTTATTTATAGCATTTTTTTTGTAATCTTTTATAATTTTTTACACAGTTTCTACTTATTGAAAACTGTAAAAAAAATTGGGCATGTGTGATTTATAATTAGAATTCTGGTTTGGATATAGTTTCCATTCAATGTATCTGATACGTAAAAATATCAACTTTATTTGGACTTGTCCTTGTTAGCAAAAAACCTGCAGAAATGAGATTTCTGTACATTTTTTCAGACAATATTTAAAATCAAATGCTCAAAAATTGGGTATAAATCTAAATTTTTATGTCAGTTCTTACCACATCAAACGACATCTTTTACATCGAGTGCAATGTTGATTTATAAAGAAAGTGAAAAATCAACCTTCCCTACTTCATAAGCAAAACATTCACAGTGAACAAAGAACTGTTCATACGTACCTAATATAATGGTAATGGTATTATTAGTCGTTTCTTTATAATGTATTATTCGGCAATCATTGACTGATCAACAAGTACTGCTTTCGGTTGAAATTTATAAAATCTTTTTGTTAAAACACTATTATTTTTTAGGAAAGTAAGTTTCTCAATTGGAGTAGCTGTTATCACCCTTTCCAGTATTGTTGAAGGTTTCCTTCTCAATCACCTTATTTCAAACGGTGTTGAAAGTTAACATCTTGATTATGCCATTAATTTCTCTTCGAGATACATTAATTGCTGCTGCTGCTGGTAGTCCTCAAGTGATGTGGTTTCTGTTATTTGGTATAGTTCTTTGTTTGGGATTCTGTGGCGCCAGTACACAATGTTCTAATAAGTCTGATATTTACCATGACTTTACTCCCCTCTCTCTCTCTCTCACACACACACGCTCTCTCTCTCTCTCTCTCTCTCTCTCTCTCTCTCTCTCTCTCTCTCTTTCAAAGACATTTTAACCTTTGATCTTAGAAATCATTTGCATATAACTGGAAGTTAACATATTTCTGAAGAGATTTGACGCCATACATGATATGAATATGAATGTCTCGATGTGACGAGGCTATTTAAGAACATGACTCGTGTTTTCAGAATGAAGTTTTGGTTTCATATCAATTTGTGGTGTTGAGCGAAACTAACTCTGACGCAATCTATACTATGTACAATTCCTCTAGTGCATTTGTTATCACTGATCCATACAATGAGACATTTTACCAATTCCACATCCTGATGCATTCGGAAGAGGAGAATCACTGCTTTCATTTCAATTCCAGATCATAGTTTCTCGTGAAACGATTATAAGATGGAGTCTTAACTGAGGTGTCGGGACTTTCCCCAATAGTGATTTTCTAAGCCCGACTTAGATGGGCATCCATTGAGGATCGAACTCACTACTCAGTCTTAATTGATCTAGCAAGACAAGCTTTCTAACCATTACATCACGTCAAGTTGCCCCAGGACTTTCCCAAATATGAAATAAACAAGGGTGGGGTTTAAATAAGGCAATGTTTGAAAATAATTTAAAGAGTCAAAATGTGTTCGGAAAATCCCCACAAAATATAAACGTCCTCACCTTCTGTTAGACACCTAAGAGTAGGTTCGATTATATGCATGAACCTAATACACCGTATAAATATCCATAGGATTACGAAATCTCAGGAGAGGGAATGACCAACAATTCGGATTTAACCAGGAAAACGTTGATACCGATGCATATTCAGGAAGTCGGCCAACAAGTGGAACAGTCGATAATCTTTGGTGCGTGGATGATCCAAAATAAGCAGCCGTTTTCGACAGTGTAAATATTTCAATATGATTGGACGAGTCTGGTTTAATAAGTACTACAAGATGGTCGACTCGCTGCGGAGTAGGTATTAGCAAACGTTTTTTACAAGACAGTTGTATGGTGTATTCACTCGACACTGGAGTTTCTATATTTGCTGCTATCCTTTGTAATAAGTGAACTTAAAATTAAACAACAAAACACGGATGGGTTTGATGTGATACTTGCGTATTGACTGCAATATTCGCATATACAATTCATTGCTAAAATACTGATGGATTTTTGTATCACTCCAGGAATTATCAGACTTGTTCTACCATGTTTTATCAGATCAGAAGTATTGCTTCACTGTATGCACTAGAGCTCGGTAATACTCAATGTCCAACCTTGATAGAGTTTTAAAAAATAAGATTACGTGGCTTTGTGGGCGATAAAATTATTTTCAGCTCTGTAATGACTTTCCCACAGCCAAAACATTGCAAGTTTATCGCTACTCTTTCCATGGCAAATGTTCATACCAGATACATTCATTCGTTACACCAGTTCAGATAAAGCTACAGGATGCGATGGATAGGATGTCGTCTAAATTACGTGAAAAAGAAAATAACACTGACATCTCATTTTAACAGATATATTTAACAAAATTAAACAAATATCTTGAAATAAAAAAGATTACATTTATTCAATAAAATCGCTATTGTCTTCAACACAGTCTCCTCTCCTGACGGTCCCCCTTCTTTACGTTGGTGAATGCTGCTATAATCCTTGCCTTCAGTTCATTTTTGATGTTACCAAGCGTTTTCTTGGTCTCTCGTTCAACTGCGCTACACTCTAAATAATCAAGGGAGTTGCAAACTGGGGAGTTAGTTGGCCAGATGGGTGTCATGGTGCAGAGTCATGTTACGTCATCCAGCAGCCACCCTCTTGATCCAGGGCAGTACTACCTTCTCAAGGCACGATGCAGGTCTCCGTGTTGTGTCCGAGGCCCTGTAGAAAGATAAAATGCAGGCATAACTAGTGATCAATCCAAACACATTCGTAAACACCATTAGATTCATCCAACTCTATCCTAATCCTATGCACTGTATTAACACCCAAACACTCTGAAATGTTCTTACTAGAGCTTCCGGCGCGAATGCCAAAGAGTATAACATACCGTATCCAAATTTCTGGTGGAGGGAATTGCACCATGGTACTCTTTTTCTCACAATGTCCAACTGACCCTACTATACTGTGCAGTTGATAAAATCAAAAACAGACAACGCGCATGCGTGAAATTAAAAATATAAAATAGTGACATTTTACACATCGCTACGCCGAGTTGATTTGTTTTCATTCCCTAATATGTGTATGGGCGAGTAAAATTCTCACATAGATAAAAAACAGTAGATAGATAGATAGATAGTGAAGAAACTGAGGTAGATAGATAGATAGTGAAGAAACTGAGATAGATAGATAGATAGTGAAGAAACTGAGATAGATAGATAGATAGATAGATAGTGAAGAAACTGAGATAGATAGATAGATAGATAGATAGATAGTGAAGAAACTGAGATAGATAGATAGATAGATAGTGAAGAAACTGAGATAGATAGATAGATAGATAGTGAAGAGACTGAGATTGATAGATAGATAGATAGATAGTGAAGAAACTGAGATAGATAGATAGATAGTGAAGAAACTGAGATAGATAGATAGATAGTGAAGAAACTGAGATAGATAGATAGATAGATAGATAGATAGTGAAGAGACTGAGATTGATAGATAGATAGATAGATAGTGAAGAAACTGAGATAGATAGATAGATAGTGAAGAAACTGAGATAGATAGATAGATAGTGAAGAAACTGAGATAGATAGATAGATAGTGAAGAGACTGAGATAGATAGAGAAAAGAAGTAGATAGTGAACAGACTGAGATAGATAGATAGATAGATAGATAAATAAAAGAACTAGATAGATAGATAGATAAATAAAAGAACTAGATAGATAGATATATAAATAAAAGAACTAGATAGATAGATAGATAAATAAAAGAACTAGATAGATAGATAGATAAATAAAAGAACTAGATATATAGATAGATAGATAGAAAACAGACTTAGATAGAAACAAACTTAAAGCGACAGATAGATAATGGATGGCTTCCCTTAGGCTGTTTACTGGGACGGTTAGAGAATCCCTGTAGCAGACAACAGAGCGCACCTGTGGTGTATATTAAAACTATGCTGGGCCTATATTACAGTTTCTGTGAGAGAGTGCATTATCTGGTGTGATCAACAGTCTGAACAAGGCCAGTACGCTCAAACCCTCAGTCACGATGACTTGTGACTTCGTGCTAGAGCATCGATAGACGGCTTAAATACAGTTCCACTATAGTTCACACACAAAACTTAGATCAACATCAAGCAAGGTTTTCAGACACTTTCGAAGGTTGCCTCACCCTGCTTTCGCCTCAACAGACAGATAACACTTTCTTGATAAATCAACTATGATAAGATTCGAAATCGGAACACATGATCGGAAAGGGAACGTTCTGACCACTCTGTCCATAGATAGATAGATAGATAGATAGATAGATAGATAGATAGATACATCTACACAAAATGATTTGGTTCGTTGATTTTGTTTATCAGCATTTCAACCGCTATAAGTTATTTAATGCCGAAATCTAAATATTTAGAATACAATTGTATGTCTTCAACTACATATAAAATGTATCATTGGTATTTCTATTATAAATATGTATTGTTGGTAATTTTATATATATATAAAAATGCATGGGCACTTCGACGTGGTGTAATAGTTAGAACGCTTGACTTGCTTAATCAATTACGACTGTGTAATGAGTTCGATCCTCACTGGGTACCCCATACTTTCGGCCTTGTGCCACATCTAACCCGGGCTTAGAAAATCACTATAAAAAATATATTGGTGTTGTTTTTATTTTTAAAAAAAATGTATTTTTTCATACTTTCATATGGTTTTTGTTTGTTTGTTTTTTTTTTGTTTTGTTTTTTTGAATGGTTGATTTTATTTAACGGCATATCAACTCCTTATGTGTCATTTAATGCCGAAATTTAATTTTCTTAGGAGCTTTGAAGTAATAAAAATTATGATATATGTTATTCTGCTTTCACAGGTGAATACATGGTAAATGATACTCAGCTTTTGATCATGTTCATGTTTGTGCAGGGCATAGTTACTAGAAGCGGTGATATGTGTGCTTATGTAGTAGTTTTATTGAAGTTATATTTTGGAATACAGTTTGATTTCTTTGAAAAAAAATGTAGGATATTATGTGGATTAATGCCATACAAATGCTCTTTCATTTTGGATGTTTGGTCGGTTGATTTTATTTAGAGGCATATCAACACCTCTATGGGTTAATGTCGAAATATATACATTCTGAACACAATTGTATGGCTTCAATTACATATGTTATGAACGCAATCCTATGCCTTCAACTCCAGATAGAATATAATTTTTGGTAATGTTACTATAAAATGTATTGCTGGTAATTTGGCTTTAAAATTATAATGTTGGTAATTATTTTATATAATAATGTATTGCTCGTATTTTTACAATAATAATGTATTTTTATACATTAGTAGTTTTTTTCTTTGGAGTGTTCTTTATATGAGCATAACCAAGGCGCTAAAAGATGCTGCCAGTCAGGATGTTCCTGGGAACGACAGCAATCAAGAGGTGATATCACGTTCCTGAAAACCTTCAATCACCCCGATCGGAGGCCTTGCTGCCGGTTTTAGTTTATCGTCATACGCAAGACTAACCCAAACTGAACATTGTAGCTAGGTAAAATGTCTACATACATTGGTACGATTAAGCCAACTCTCCTGGAAATCTCATTGATTCCGATGCTGGGGTTACGGAAAGAGCTGCAAAGAGTTTCACTCTTCTGATTCCACCAAGTGAAATGCATATCTGAAGGCAAATACAGCAGAAATAATCGTAATGAAGACGCAATTAATTCTACTTGTTTCTTGTCAATAAGTAGAATTATTGAACCGGCAGATAAGAAATACCGCTCCCGATATCAAACAGCTGATATTAAATAGTGGTAATTATCTGTAATAATTATCTCAATTATCAGGAAACATTTACGGATATATCATCATCGTGGAACATTACAATTCCAGCTAGGAGGAATCAGCGACTATTGTGAGCGTACTTGCAACATTTTCCACTTTTATATATATATATATATATATATATATATATATATATATATGATTACTGCCCAATCGCTGCTCGAAGGGACCCACTAAAAAGACCGCGGTGGATGAGGTGGTTCCCCGCAACTTCCGGAAGCCTGATGGTACCCGAGCGATCGATTGCTGTCATTCAAAGCTTGCGTAAGTAATCGAAGACAACCTGGGTTGCCTTCAATTCCAGTATTCTTAAGGTATCACTGGCGAGACCATTAATTACAAAATCATATCACTATGATATGACCCCTGCATATGGATGCATACATAAAATACATTCATAAAATATATTTTTTTTTATTAAATTGAACGTCATTTTTCGTGGATACCCGCGTTTTAAACAGACGATTTTTAAATTTTAAACAGTGTGTATTGCGCCTATCTTCCTGTGGACGTATCCATAAAAAGAATACCCGCTCGGCCCGGTGGCTAGGATCAAAGTGTAGTATCTGCGCTTTGTGAGCTGCCGGGTCGGGTGTCTGTCGAACTCTCTGCTTGCAGAGGGGAACCCGGACGAGGCTCTGCCGAAGGGTAGGGTTTCGTTCGGGGAGGTTGACGGAACTAGCTCGCTTGGACGGGTTTAGATGGATTTTATTTTTGGCTGGGCCTCTACGGGCTCTGACATACCCACATTAAAAAGGCCTTGTGCCACATTCAATTCCTGTGGGTGAATTGATAAATACCATCTTCCTGTGGACGTCATATTGGATGTTGAAAATAAAAATCACGGCATCTTTTTCAAACACGGGATTCTACTAAAAATAACCTTTGAAAAATAAAGGAATGATTCAAAATAAATGAATTAATTCTTTATAAATATATATATATATATATATATATATATATATATATATATATGAGTAAGGCATGTGTTATTAAAAACAACGGTAGATTTCCGTTTTATGAACTTTTTCTCAGTTATTTCTTGCTTTCTCGCAAGTTTCTTAATGTTTGGGTCCAGGTTGTTTAACCATTTTAAAGGATGAAATATTTTAACAGTTAAAATATTTCATCCTTCAAAATGGCTAAATATGTGACCGAAAGCGCTCGGATTAAAAGAACATTCGGACAGTTTTTATATAATTTATCATCTGAAAAGAAAAAAAATTGTATAAAAATCTAAATAAGAGCACCTTGTCTGCCGTATTCAATAAAATGTGCATGAAAGAAGGATTGATATCCTAAATACACACATATATATATATATATATGTATAAATGCATGTTTCATTGAATAATATAGACAAGTTTTGTCTCTATTTATTTTAACTTCCTTTCATATTGTCTGATAAGCTTAATCACATTATAGTTGAAAGACGAACGGAAAACACCATATTGATACATGTTTAAATCAAATCTAAGCTTTCGGCTTACACAAACCATTATCAAAGATGACAATTTCAATAAATCAAGCAACAACGGGCGAAACAACAAGGATAGTCCGCACTTGCTGCATGAAAATTTCCAAGTAACGACAAACTCATATATACGAGACGCGGAAGCGAAAATCGCGTTGCAGCTCGTTACGTCACACATGACCACGCGAGAGTGAAAAACAAGATGTATTATGGGAAGCTGTGGGTATAAACCAATGGCTTCTGTTATAAATTATAGTTATTTAATGATATTTGTGGAGATTTCATAGTTTATTTTGTTCAGGTTAGGTTTCAACTGTTTTACGTATAAAGCTTCAAGAATTTTTAATTTTTGTTTATTGTTTTCATGTTTAAGTATAGTTGTGTTGTCAACAAAGATTTTCCGGAATTGAGTACGCGGGCAGGCATGTTGTTTTAAATGCCTAAAAATGTTAGTTATCATTTAAATGTAGAATCAAGCGCCGTGAAAGCGAGTTTGCGGTGTGACCAACATAAATATTATTTAATCTGTTGGAGATACAATCTCCCAAAGAGCATTTGAATTTATAAACTATGTTGGTTTTCTGCAAATCGCTAACCGGGAAGGGGAAGAATCATTGCGAATAGTTAAGTTGGATATACGAGATTTAGTGTAGTATATGATTAACCTAATTTTTTGCTAGGTTCTGTTGTGGATATATTAGTATTTACTAATTTTTTTTTAGTATATTTTCATCTTGTTTATAATTAGTACGCATTTCACTACGATAAAAGAGATTAATGTTTGGAATTAGTTGAAGCAGTATTATGTTCTATTTGCGTAGTATTAAGACTTCTAAGAAAGTACTTGATTTGTTCATCAACTATATAGTTTGGAAAGCTATTATTAATAAGCGTTTGTTTTATATTCTTTAGTTCACTGTAAAACATATGTTTTTTACAAAAAAACTACCAACATAAATTAATGTACACTTAACCACAAAAGCGAATGTCCATATTAGTACAAAATAGCAATTATAAAAAATCTAATGCATCGTGCAAAAACTAATTCATCAACAAAACAGATTTTTTACAGTATGACGATAAACTGCTTCCGCGCCCTGGTTAAGACGATAAACTACGTCCAGCAGCAAAGCCACTGATCAGGAGGTTTTGAGGAGCGTGCCAGCACCTCTTAATTGCTAGTGTTCTTAGGTTCACCCTGATCAGGGGTGGTAGCACCTGTTAGGGTCCCAGTTATGGGCAAATAGTTAATCCCGAAACTGGGGTAAAAACACGATGAAAGTGTAAAAATAGGCTTTATTGCCAGAAATATTACCAGCAATAAATTTTTGAAGAAAAAACTATTACCAGCAATACATTTTTGAAAAAAAATTATTACTAACAATACGTTTTTGAAAAAAATATTACCGGCTAAACATTTTCGGAAAAAAAAATATTACCAGCAACACATTTTTGAAGGAAAAATTATTACCAGAAAAAATTTTTTGACAAAACATAATATTACCAGCAATAAAAATTTTTGTCGGCATTAGATAACCTATTGAGGTTGGCAGGCCGTAAACCAAACCAAACCAAAGCCTCTAAAATAAAACTGCTTTCATTTAATTCCCACAGACAACATTTAATGACTGCCATCAGCATGGCTAATGATAAACTCCCGTTGAGCAATGCTCTACGGCTTCTTGGGCTCACATTTTCCACTGACATTAACTAGAGTGATCATATCGAATCAATTGCTACATCTACTCCAGGGAAAGTTGGTTCACAGCGCCGTGCTAGAAAACGTTTCTCGTCAGCATCTATTATGCATATTTAAAAATCTACCATTTGTACGTGCACTGAATACTGCTGTCATATCCGGCCTGATGTATATAATGAGATTCTTGACATCATTCAAAGAACTGACTGTAATGCAACTGACCCAGTTCTGGCGTTTCGTCTACAGTCCCTTTTTCAATGACATGATGTGATTTCCCTCTGTCTTTTCGACAAATAATTTCAGGGAAACAGT